GGCCTCTAGTCCTATATAATAAAAGGCTAATTTGCAAATCGACTGAACGGCGGAATGACCAGTCGCTTAGACACGCATTGACCACCAGGGGGCAGACGCTCAATGCAGGATCAGCCCCCTGGTGGTCAGTGCACTCCCACAGAGGGAGTGCTGCTCAGCCAGAAGCCAGGCCCACAGGCTGGCGAACACAGCGGTGGTGGGGGGAGCCTCTCCTGCCTCCACAGCATCCCTCAAGGGCTCCTGGACTGTGAGAGGGCGCAGGCCAGGCTGAGGGATGCACACACGCCACCACCACCACTATTCCAGTGCATGAATTTCGTGCACCAGGCCTCTAGTTTGTTATATTTTGTACCTTCTACTCAGAGACTTGCCTTTCCTCGTTGGCTTTTACACAGAGGTTTTTAATTTTAACACAGTTGAATTTATCAGCTTGTTCGAGAAAATCTTATTGTTAAAATATGTTCCTGTGTTCAAAAGTTTTACCTTTCATATTTAGTTCCATAATCCACATAAATTGCTTTTGTAGGTTGTTTGAGATGGCGTCTTTAATGCCTCTCATTAAAGTTTTATAATGTTCCCTGAGGTGTTCCTGCAAGTCTGGTTAGGTTTCTGCTAAAGAAACTCAGTGATGATCCCAACATAGATGTTTCAGGGAAGTCACTTGTTTCTACGTACATAACATTTTAAGTTGCTATTGAAAATGGTTTGGGGTTCAGTGGATAGAGCGTCAGCCTGCGGACTGAATGGTCCCAGGTTTGATTCTGGTCAAGGGCACATGCCCAGGTTGCAGGCTCAATCCTCAGTAGGGGGCGTGTGGGAGGCAGCCGATCAGTGATTCTCTCTCATCATTGATGTTTCTATCTCCCTCTCTCCACCTCTCCACCTCTCCCTCTCTGAAAACAATCTACACTAATAAAAGAGAAACATGGTAATTAGCGTACGACCGCTACCCTTTTCATTGGCTAATCAGTGAGTATATGCAAATTAACTGTCAGCCAAGATGGCGGCCGGCAGCCAGGCACTGAAGCGAGCACAAGGCTTGCTTGCTGC